CCCACCTGGAAGAAGAAGCCGAGGACAGCCAGCCCATTGGGATGCCCCTTGGCCTCTGCCAGCGTCCGGTACTTGACGTTGATGTGAACGATGTGCAGCTAGGGAAAGCACGGAGGGGCCAAGTGTGGGCAACTGCCCCTGGCAGCGGGGCACTCAGCTGCGGATCTCCCCGGCCAGTCTGAGGCGGGGGGACACTGAGCCATCCAGCCCCCGGAAAAGCCCTCCCAGTCCCATGGGTGCTTCCGCAGGGCGGCCACTCGGAGGATCAAAGCCCCCTGATGAGGCAGCATCCTTTGAAGGGGGTGGGGAAGGGGGTGCAGCGGTCCCGGGCGCTGCCAGCCGCAATACATAAATTTTGCTCTCCTCTGGCAGATAATTAATATTTTAGAGGCGCAGAGCCTCTTTCACCCAGAAGGATCCCAACACACTTGGCACAGCATGTTCCCGCGTGATCTGCACTCACTGGCTCAGCTTGCGGTCCCAGCGGGGCGCGGAGCCCTCCCAACCCCACTGAGCACCTCGGGCAAGGCAGCTCGGCCCACGTGCGGTAAAGAAAAACCTTGAGTCTCGTGTAGCTGCTTTTTAAGCCCCCAGGTGCCCGCGCAGCAGCTACCTGCATCCCACCATCAGCGCGAGGCTGCGGTGACAGGGAGCACAGCCCAACCCACCGGTGCAGCGTGACCGAACCCCATCACCCCTCTGCGTGGCAGCCTTGGGGCACACCAGATCACACCTTCCCCTCACACCAAGAACTTGGGCCACCCAGAGAGCGCAACGGGTGCCTTTTCTCGCCTACCTCCATGGGGAGCTGGCGCCCGTCGAGGGTGTGCTCAGAGCCGTTCCCAGCTGGGCTATTCCCCGGCTGGGCTGCCCCAGTGGAAGTGGAGCTGCAGCGCACGGTAGGTGCCGGGGAGGCCCCCACCACTGATGGTGATGTGCTCAGAGGCCGACTCGCTCGCCAGGCTCAGCATCACTGCAAGGGCGGCGGGATGGGATAGGGACAGCGGGGTAAGGATGGGGATTGGGATGGGGAACAGCCCTGGCACACCTGGGCTCATCCTCCCCAGGCTTCGTCCCAGAGCTGACATAAACCCACATGGTAGGTGCCGGGGAGGCCCCCACCACTGATGGTGATGTGCTCAGAGGCCGACTCGCTCGCCAGGCTCAGCATCACTGCAAGGGCGGCGGGATGGGATAGGGACAGCGGGGTAAGGATGGGGATTGGGATGGGGAACAGCCCTGGCACACCTGGGCTCATCCTCCCCAGGCTTCGTCCCAGAGCTGACATAAACCCACATGGCAGGAGCTGCCCTGGGACCCCACAGCTCGAGGGCAGAGGGCCCCCAAGAGCAGTGGTGGAGCCCTGGCCAGGATGGTGCCCAGGGAGCCAGGGCAAGGGAGGGTGCCCGGCTGCAGCACGCACCCGTGTGCCCATCGTTTGCCAGCCT